CATGTCTCCGTGTCTTTGTGTCTTCATGTCTACGTGTCTTTGTGTCTACCTGTCTGTGTCTTTGTGTCTTCATGTCTACGTGTCTTCATGTCTCCGTATCTTTGTGTCTTCATGTCTCCATGTCTTCAGGGTCGTCTCCCGGTGAAGTGGATGGCACCAGAAGCTTTATTTGACCGCGTCTACACGCATCAAAGCGACGTGTGAGTTTCAGCTTTAAAGACTCGACGGGTTTTCATTCATCTGTAGTTGTTGTTTGTTGTGTTTCAGGCATTTAATAACATAATATAATATATAAGTCTGAATATTAATCAGACGAGTCACAACGACGACTAACGGAGATATTCATTATGAGTTCATCTGCTGGTTGTTTTTGTTGTTTGCTGTGTAAAAAAGAAAAAGCTCATCAAAGCTTCACAAAGTCCGAAACCCAAATATATTTAGTTCAAAGAGAGAAAAGCATCAAATATTCACATCAGAGAAACTCGGACAAACTCATATTTTTGCTATTTTTTTACCTGAAAAGCGACTCAAACGATTAATCAAACATGGCTATTGATTGATTAAGAGATTGATCAACGATTGTTTCTATTTGCATACATTCATAAATAAAGAAAATACAGTGACTCTTGCTGAATAAGCATCATGATGCAGAAGTCTCTTACTAAATGATACAAATGTTTCCTGAATTCCATCAAACAATGTGGTTAAAATAAATGTAAAGTATCTGAAGATGACTATCGAAGGCCTTCCTCTCTCTCTGATGGCGCCATGTTGTTCATCATTGTTCAGGTGGTCGTTTGGAGTCTTGCTGTGGGAGATCTTCACCCTCGGGGGGTCTCCGTACCCCGGAGTCCCCGTGGAGGAGCTCTTCAAGCTGCTAAAGGAGGGACACCGCATGGAGAAACCCTCGGCCTGCACCCAGGAGCTGTGAGTCCACATCAAAAACCTGGTTCTCAGAGTGGAAACGTAGACCTTACATAGACTTTGAGTCAGTCCTATAATGACAAACAAGAAGTAGAAATGTTCTCATGTTCCTGAGGTATTGATGTTATTGTGGTTATTATATATCATATCTTGTTAAATTCTTAGTCATCAAAAGTATGTAGTCATATCTTATCTATTTTCATTTTGTGTTCTCTATAATATTGTGAAATTTAAATATTATTTAGGTGGAGTTTTCAGATGAGCCCAGTGGGTTTATATTGATATTATGTTGATATTATATATTTCTGTTATGTTTTTTAAAACCATGCCGAACAAAGTAAACAAAGATCAGAGAACCTCTCGTCTGAAGGACGAACTGTATCGGGTGAATAAGTGTTGATGTCTGGCGCTGGTTATTGTGTCTTCAGGTATCTGATGATGAGAGACTGCTGGAATGCCGTCCCGTCTCGCAGACCGACGTTCTCACAGCTGGTCCAAGACTTGGACCGCATTCTTTCTGTCATGGCGAACCAGGTAACGTGTTCATCAAGATACCTCCATTCAGTTCATTAGAAGTTAATATTGATTAGACAGCGACTACTTCAGCACCGAGCCTCATTCACCAACTGTTTTCAAGAAGAAACACAATTTTAACCAATGTTTTCTTATTTGGGATTTCTTAAAGCTGCATTCTCTCTAGTGTCCACCAGGGGGCGACTCCTCTGGTTGTATAGAAGTCTATGAGAA